CTTTCCGGATTCCAGGTCTGGCCACATCATTATCTTGTTTCATGACCTTGAGCACATCACGTCCTTTCTGTGAACCAAAATCCTTCCCTTGGAAAGGAAAAAGAGCTGCACAGCCAGGTCTGGAGGCCTTGCACAACCTTTGACTAAGGTGAAGCTGTACCTGGGTCCGCTGTGCCGACCTCACTGTAATGGCTGGGACAGAGGAGGGCCTGGCCACTGCACGCTCGGCTCTTCAGCCCCCAGCAAACAGACCCTCTCAGACGTCTAGCCGAAACCCAGGTTGGGAGTGAGCAGGGGCACCAATTTCACACTCCCCAGTGCCCTCAGTGGGTTGGGTGCCGGCATGGCATGTGGGCAGGTGCTCTCTCCTCTGGCAATATGTCTGCCCTGAAGACGTGCTCCTTGCCCCTGACCCCCTCAGATACACTGCTATTGGGCTTGGGGTGCAATGCTGAGCCCGTGGAAAGAAAGAGATGGTCTGTTGGTGGGAGTGCGGGCCTGAGGGGGAGCAATCTCAGCTTACAGCTTACCGCTTCCTCTCACCGAGGTTCTGCATAAGAAATGACACGTCTAAGCAACCCCGCAACTTCTGCCAACCCTTTGCTGAAGTCATGTGCCGAGCACCCCGGGAAAGGACACAGCAAGGCGGGGACAGCCTGCGCTTTGGGGTCATAGGTCCCGGGTTCAAATCCCAGCTCATCCGCTCAGCCACTGCCTGATCTTGGCAAGTCGGTAGGCTTGGATTTGAGCTGACACGCACGTAATTGAAAAGATGCTTTATCACGTCATGACCTTCAGGGATGGAAAGACTGAGAAGCTAAACTCCTTTTAGAATGTATTGAAAGGGACAGACCAGCCCTCTCTCTTCATCAGACAATGAGATCTAGAAGGGTCAGCATTTCCCAGCGCCCCGCCATGGAGGCAAGGTGTGGGCAGACCTCTCTTGCAGAGAGAGGCCTGGTGGGCTGAATGCGGGCAGAGGTGGGGTAAGGAGAGGCGGAACAGCTGTGTTTGCTGTGGGGCTTTTCATAGCCTTGCTGAGGGAAGATGCTGCGTGGAGCGCCACAAGCGACATGTGCTGCGTTTCTCGAGCTGCCCGGGAGCCTCCCTTTCTCTGCCAGTCACACCGGGAGCTCCAGTGGGCCAGACTTGGGAAAGTTGCTGCTGGTGCCTCTTTCTCTCTTGGCTCCCAGGAAGCTCTATGTGATGCTCACATCGGGTAACCACATCAGCGCGTCTGAGCAAATTCCTATTCCACCCCCACTCAGCGGTGTGAGCTTTCTATTTTTGTTTTGCTGTACATATATTCTTCAGTGCAAGCTGCCTCAGATGCTGTGTGGAAGTGAGGAGAGTGGGGCTGGCGTCCTCTGGAGAGCAAGCGCCTACACAGGGGCCAGGGCAAGGCTGTGCCCTCGGAGTTGCGAGCCGGGCTGGAGTTCACCACTGCTCTCCATAGCTGCCACCACCCTGACCACCACCCTGACCCGCCTCCGACAGAGGGATGGACGCACCCCCGCGGGGATTCCTCTGAGTCCTGTTTGTGATTATTTCATCCCAGGCAATGAAGAAAGGAGGGCAAGGGTCAGCATATTTATGTTCTGCAGAAGCTGCTTAAGTAAAAGCCACCACGTACTGGGCACCACTGACCTCGCGATGACATTGCTTCTGCTGCTGTTGCTCTTAGCTGTTCTAGGAAAGACAGAGGCGGCTGGGCCCAGGGCAAGGGGTCCTGGCTTTGGATGAGGTGGGCTTAGGTCGGGTGAGTCCGTTCTGCTGTGAGCATGCTAAGGGGCAGGTCAGCAAAACGCAGGGCCAGAGCCTGCCCGCAGCTTCAGGCACAGCCAGGGGCCTGTCACACGAAGGCTGGCTGCCTTCTGCTTCATGGGGGAATGGGGTGGGGGCTACAGATGCTACCACTTGTTTGGTCCCCAAGTTCCCAATAAATAGGTGTCTTTTGTATCTTTCAATTGACCTATGTGGGTAAGGGGAGGACTGGGCTGAAACATCCTGACACCCCCACCTTTATTTCTCCAATGCATTTCATTCCGCAGGGAACACACCATTAGTGGAGAGAGAAATCAATTTAGTGGGCTGTGACCGGCATTTGAATAACATGAACTAGACTAGAGAGTATTAGAAAGCGTTGGCTGCAGCAGGGGTTAGGATTGTTTTGTGAAATATAGGTAGAGGCATGAAGATGGGGTGGGGTGGGGTGTCCAGGCATCGCTGTGGGTTGCACCAGCCATGTCTGAAAGCTGCTGGCTCGTTGGCTCTGCATGGGCCACAGCTGGACAGGTGCATCTGCTCCCTGGTTTGTCCTGGGCTCTGGGGTGCCCACCACACCCAGATAAAGGTGCTTGTGAAGTGTCTCCCTTTGAGAGAGGCATGTTCGTGTCCTCAGCCCACTGAGCCTGGGAGTCAGGGAGGAACACCCTATTGAAGACGAGCCCCCTGTAAATAGGGAGGTGTCACTGTCAGCTGGGATGTGGTCAAACACCAAAGGCCACTGGGGTGGAGGAGCACTGGGCTGGGAGTCCCGTTCAGCTCTAACACTCTGCCCACTCACTGCCTTGTGACTATGGGCAGAGATTTGCCCTTTCTGGACCTCGGATTCCTTGAAAGAATGAGTAGTCAGGACAGGGTATTCAGAGGGGGAGGAAGGGGCCACCCCTTTTCCCCTAAGGTCTTACCTTATTTTGTTCCATCCGTTCTCAGATGTGACAGAAAAGGTGGATTTTGGAGGAAATCACAAAATGGAAACCCCTGTTGCCTCTGGGCTTCTCCCCAGGCCCTGAAGCGGGGGTAGCGGCTTCCCGTAGCCCCGACAGAGACAGCTGAGTCTGAGCCTGGTCTCCATGGACAGCATTTATTAGGCGCCATTCTCAGTGTGAAGACAGGTAGGCAGAAGGGACTGAAGGGAGGCCCAGGCAACCACAGCCTTTGGGGTCCAGGGAATGCCTGGGGTGGGGGTGTGGGTGTGGGGGCATGTCACCCACACATATTGCATATTCTGTGGCAGTGTGCCCAGGCATAAGGCATTGGGAAGCAGAAAGGCTGCCTGCAGTGGAGGGGACAGGGGGAGACAACACGGGCCTTCCAGTTCCCTAGAAAGACCTAGAAACACCCAGCTCTGCCCAGCCATCAGGCCTCCTTCCCCACCATCTCTCTGAAACTTTGGTTGTGGCTCCCTCGGGACTGACAGGACAGGACCCTTCGAGGGCAGGGTCACACACAGGACAGAGGCAGCCAGCTCTGCCCCCACGCCCCAACATAAACACAGAGGGCACCCTTGGGTCCCCAGCCCTGCTCTCCCAGGCATGTGGGCAGCCAGCTCCTCCACACTGAGACGGGACTCACACACAGGCCAGGCCACATTCTTCCTTGGGGCTCCTGGGGCTGGAGCAAGTGGCTGGGCTGGGCCCAGGTGGGTCCCCAGGCCGACAGCTCCCTCCAGCTTCCTTGGCTCCCAGGGCTGGCCTTGCCCAGCAGTGCAAAGGTGACATGGGGCCAGGACTCGAGGGCAGTATGGGGGGCAGGGGTCTCTCCCTGCTTGATGCTGCTCTGAGTCACGGTACCGGCTCCAGCTGAACCTGACGTGGAGACTCTGGTGACACCTCTGGCTGCTGTACTGCACCTGGGCTTTGGGGTGCAGGCGGAGCTGGCAGTGGGCACACCAGGCCCAAGCTCCCCAACCCCTCTGCAGCAAGGGGCGCTCCTTGCTGCAGCCCAGCTGATCCCGAGCTACTTGGGACACAGGTGCCAACCACGGTGGTGGGCCTGGGGCTCCTGCCCCGGGAGGAAATGCCTGCTGGCTCTGCTGACTGCTCCGCCCGACCCCAACTCCTAAAAGCTCCTGGCCTTTCCCCATGACACCCAGACCTGCAGGGTCCCGAGGACCATTTGCTTGTAAGCAGGCAGTTCGGCGTCTCAGGGGGTCCTACACTGTCTCAGGGGGCCATTCGGAGCCCCACTCCCCTGAGCCCAGCACTGACCCAGCCCTAAGCCTGGGCTCTGGTCTAAGCACCAAATGCCCACACAGTGCCAGCTCTGCAAGGCAGGAGCTCTGCTCTCCAGGCAGGCAGGGGACAGGCTCCCTGTGCCTCTTCTCTCTGTCACCCTCACCTGCCCGGTCTCAGTGCCATCTGTGAAATGAATGAGAACTCCAGCTCTGGTGACCTAACCGGGGTGTTGCGAGAATCCAGGGTGTCCCGAGCCTGAACCTCATTCCACAGGTGAAGAGTTGTGATCGTCAGCGGCGCTGGGATGGCGAGACTGGAGTTTTATTTGGTTCCAAGGGCAGTGTCTGGAGGCTGGACTCCCCTCGCCCCAGGGAATGTGGCTGGAGGCCCGGTAGTTGTCACTGACCATCCAGCAGATTGAAGGGTCCTGTCTCCCCCGGCCCCCTCCTGCAGCTGCAACCCAGCTTCGGTTCACTGCCCTCCTGGACTAGCTGTGGGACTGCCGGTCGCGCTTTCTCCTTCACTGCGAAGCCATGCAAAAACACAAAGGGTATTGGGAGGGGCACACAGCTTGACGGGGAAGGCTGGGACTGAGTGGGGTGACTGGACAAAGACGCCCTGGCTTTTGGAGCCAAGGGGAGGCGGGAGGCCTGGCAGGACAGAGGTATAAATAGAGATGCAAACCTACCGAACACGAAGTCCCGCGGAGTGGGGTAGGGTGGGGTGGAGGTCTGGGTACCAGCAGGGCCTCTGAGGGCTGGGGCGCTCCTTAGATTTCCAAAGGAATGGGAGACACCCAGCTTCTATCTTTCCTCCTCCCCTCCTCACTCCCCAAATTTCACATTTCTCGGAATTTGCAGGGTGCGGTTGGGGGGGGTGACCCTGGGGTCCTCAGAGCCCAGGCTCCTGCCGGCTACTGCCGGCAGACACAGTCGGAGATGGGGTCTGGGGGAGGGCGGGGAGGTGTGTAGGAGGGCGCCCCACAGGACCCCTGCAGCTCCTCCAGGCAGGAGCCCCCGCCCGCGCTCGCAGGTGCTCCGGGCCCCGCGGGGCGTTCACACGGAGCTCCTGCGCTTCATGAGACCGCGGAAGGTGGACAGGCTGTGCAGGCCGGTGGACACCGAGCTGATGGCGGAGCGCGGCGCCCCGCTGCACAGGCAGCGATGCGAGGGGGTGTCGCTGTAGCGGCCGCCCCCTCCCGGCGACGAGTGGCTCTGCTCCACGCACGTGTCGGACGTGGACAGGTCCCGCGGGATGATCATGGGGATGGAGTACTGCAGCTTCTCGCGGCTCTTGTACCACAGGCACGAGCACATGGACTGGAAGTGCAGCACCTCCGCGTACACGTTGCGGAAGCCGCCGCCCCCGCCGCCCACGGCCGCGGCGCTGG